ACTTGCAAACTGCATACAGACACACATCAAAAAGATCATTCAACATGATCAAGTCAGATTTATTCCAGAGATGCAGAAATGGTTCAATATACATAAGGCAATAAATGTCATAAATCATATAAATGGACTCAAAGATAAGAACCACATGGACATCTCAATAGATGCACAGAAGGCCAATGCCAGAATTCAACATGCATTTATGTTGAAAGTTCTAGAGGGAATGGAGTGGAGGGAACATAGCTCAACATAATTGAAGCTATATACAACAAACCCAGAGCCAACATAATTCTAAATGGAGAAAAACTGGAAGCATTCCCATTAAAATCAGGAACCAGACAAGTCTGCCTACTATCTCTACTCCTTTTCCAGTGCTTGAAACTCTTGCAAGAGCAATAATACAAGAGAAGGAAATTAAAGGAGTAGTAATTGGAAAAGAAGAGGTAAAATTATCCCTTTTAGGAGACAATATGACATTATACCTAAGAATCACGAAAAATTTCACCAAAAAACTCCTAGAAATGATGAACACTTCTGGTAAAGTGGCAGGTGACAAAATTAGTCAGCAAAAGTCAGCAGATGTTCTATATACTAAAAACATGCAATCAGAGAAAGAGCGAAAGAGCACATGGAAAAACTCCCTTGCACAGTAGCCTCAAAAAACAAACAAACAAACAAAAAAAACAACAACAAAAAAAACAATAAAATAAAAGAAAAAAGGAAAGGAATATCTCAGAATAAACCAGAACAAAGACATTATAGACCTCTATAATGACATTTTTAAATCCTTTAAAAAAAAGAGAGAGAGACTGAGGAAGACAGCAGAAGATGGAAGGACCTCATGGAACAGAAGAATTAATATTGTGAAAATAACCATCCTATCAAAAGTCATTATAGATTCAAACCAATGCCAATCAAAATCCCCATGACATTCTTCACAGAAGTGGCAAAAAACCATCCTAAGATCCAAATGGAAGCAAAAAAAACCCAGTATGGCCAAAGCAACCCTAAGCACTAAGAGAAATGCTGGGTGTGTGTGGGGGGGATTACTATATCAGATTTCAAACTATATTACAGAGCTACAGTTGTAAACACAACAAGATACTGGCACAAAAATAGACCCGTAGATCAATGGAACAAAACTGAAGACCCAAGTATATGAGTATATGCAATAACAGCCACCTGATATTTGACAAAAGGCAAGAACATTCACCGGAGGAAAGACAACATATTCAGCAAGTGGTACTGGCAAAACTGGATCTCCACCTGCAGAGGAATGAAACCAGACCCCTCTCTTTCATCTTGCACAAAAGTCAACACCAAATGGATCAAAGACCTCAATGTGAAACCTGAAACCTGAAACTGTTAGAAGAAAACATTGGGAATAGCCTACAAGATATAAGCTTAGAAAGGATTTTCTAAATGGGACATCAATTGCTCAGGAAATAAGGTCAGGAATCAACAAATAGGACCTCATTAAACTCAAAAGCTTCTATACATCAAAACAAGCAACCAAGGAAGTGAAGAGAAAACCCACAGAATGGGAGAAAATCTTCACCAGTGACACATCCGACAGAGGTCTAACATCCAGAATATATAAAGAACTCAAAAAACAAAGAATCAAGAAACCAAGAAGCCCAATTAAAAGATGGGCTAAAGATATGAACAGGGAGTTCTCTACACAATGGAGTTCTACTCAGCAGTAAAGAAAGATGAAATCATTTGCCAGTAAATGGATGGAACTAGAAACTGTTATACTAAGTGAAATATCAGACTCAGAAAAATTAATGTCATATGTTCTCCCTCATATGTGGATCCTAGCACCAAATCCTTATAAGTGAGTATGTATCCAGATATAACTATATGAACCAGGATAATGAAAAAGAATCAGGGAGGTAAAGGAAAGAACCTGAGAGAGAACAGTAGGAAACAGGTGTTATTAAGAAAGAAATGGATAAAAATGTGGTTATTTAAATGGGAGAGGGGAGGGAGGGTTATACAAGGAAACTTGGGGTTAAAGGTAAAGAAGGAGCTCAAGAGAGATGGGACCATGAGTGGCAAATATTATCAAGGGAGAAATTGGGAAAATGGGAGCACTTTAAATGGGGAAGGTGGAAGGGTTAGACAGTGAGAGAGAGAGGAGAGAGATAAATAATGCCTACCTAGTTTTAAAAAAACCAGAGGGAACCATATTAGTCCATCAACTTACTGACAAATTATACATATATCTACATGAGTCCATGTGTATGGCCAAATGACACATAGCAGGAAACAGTGCCAGACATGAGGTACCTTCCTTTGAGTTGTTGGCCAGGATGGTCCAAGAGACTCCCAAAATTACTCAGGCTATTGCCACAGCCCTTGATGGCTTCCCAGAACTTGAAGGTAAGACCCTACTGCCAAAGATTGAACATACTTCGGACATAGGATTTGGTGCAATTGAGCTGCAACTGACCTCCAACCACTTCCCCTGAAGCCTAGCTCTCATAACTTTGGAGAGCACTATGAATGTGCCAAAGGAAAACCAATGGATGATCCAACACCAGCTTCAAGAACAAATAACCACATCAACAGCCAGCACACCATATGTCACTGGTATAGTATTGGTACTTTTATCTTGGGGACAATCAACAGCTACCTAATTTGACTAAAAACCCACTCAAACGGAGGAAAATCAAGTGTGGTAATGTAAACATAACCCAATACACATGGCTGGAGAGGTCATAGATCTTAGAGAGAACCCCAAGACTGTCACATTGCTAGACTAATGTGATTTCTTACTATGTGCAAAATGTGGATCCTTATATTTACCGACAAATATCCGAGTCACCACTCATCAAAGAAGTTCATTTTGCACCAATCAAGAGGCTATTACCAAGTACCAAAACTGGTCACACACAGACATTGTCTATGAATTGCCCAGGCCTAAGTGACACATCTACAATGCAGCCTCTACACCTAAGGCTCATGGAACACAGAACAAGGGTAAAGAAGAGGACACAAATGAATCTCTTGGTTCTTATTAACAAAGCTTCTCATGTAGCTGTGGGCCAGGAACACAAAAGGTCACAAATGGCCAAAGCACAGAGATCAATAGTCTGCTGAATGATGGTCATTGGACAGGACCCCTTTATTAACCTTCATCCAAGGCTCAGGAACCATCATGGAAGAGGGGCAGAAAGATTATAAGAGCCTGGAAGGAGGTGCATGACCATATGGAAACAGAGTTGAACAAGCTCCTGTGACCCAGTTCATACGGTTCTATGGCAATGGTATCAGCATACACAAGTGCCATGCAAACTCAGGCAGGCAATAACCCAGCATAGAACTTGGAAAATGAACAGCAGACCTCAATTTTATCTGAAGGAATGTTGGCAACTGATTGCTGCTAGATGAAGAAGAGCTGATCTTCCTAAAACAAGAGATGGGCTGACTAGACTCAGTGGATGACTTGCACTGGAGAATGGCGGGAGACACTGACAACCTAGTGGGCCTTAACAGGGATGACAGAGTATATGGGCTCCAGTGGGATATGTTATAGGAGGGTGCCAGTGGGACTGGGGGGCGGTATAAAGGTGATTAAAATTATTTGAGACGTTCTGTATGAAATACATAAAAACTTCAGTTAAAAACAAAATATAAAATTAGCTTTTGTTCTATAAGGAGAACAGCTTCTTTTTCCAATAAAGAATGTAGCATGGATACCTCTAAAGCCCAGTTCACAAGGCTCCAGTTCATTCTGACAAAGCAGCTGTCACTGGATAAATTGAATATAATTTATTAAATTATTTCTTCTATTGAATAACTTTCAGTCATTTCCAAAATTCTTGCTATTAAGAAAGCTTCAATGAATATTAGAATTAGTATGTCTTTATAAGTATATGCTCACTAGATTAGATTTCCAGAAATGAACTGCAGAAGCAGATGCCATTGAACTATATTCCACTTCTTAGTTGCTAATCTGATAGAAAGAATAAGATATTTGGGGGCAGGGTGCTGGCCTGGAATTTGCTATTTTAGAAAAGAGATAATAAACAAATGTGTATGTGTGTATGTATGTATAAGACAAAGACATACAATTACTGTTCTTCCAGGACAAATACTTAGAATGAAAAAAGTAACAGAGCAAGTAGGTCTTAGTGAATGCAAACATTTCAAGGGTGAAAATAAGTTCACCCTTGTCATGTACATCACAGTCTTGAGTGTATACTGACCACTAGTCAACATTGTTGTGTGATCTCTACTAGTCGTCTGGCTGGATGAGTAGATATAGCTCAGTTGATTCACTGCTAGGTATTTGCCCAAAACAGGGTAAGAAAGTTAAGGTTTCTTAACAAGAGACTATTTGACCTGGGAGTCAAAGACAAGAAACTATGAATACAGGCAATAACAAAGGAAGTCAGGGAAGCAGAGTTCTTGATTGAACTAAGATACTAGTATTCACCTATTTTCTACATATGAATAATATAAAATTTATTAAGCAATACTCTAAGAGACCTTTACACTTTAAAAAAGGACTGACAGAAAATAAATAAAGAAAATAAATAAACTCCTGGCTCTGTGAGTTCACCAATTTTGATTTGGATTATTTATGATTTAGAAAAATTAGAGACACACACATTC